TATGTGATTCATGGGTCCACTCAATCATTTCAATAGCATACAGAAAAAGATATAAGAAGGGCTTCTTACCTAATGGCATAAATCTCAATAACATACATCAAAGACACACAAGAGTTTTGAGAATGTTTTATCTGTATACTCATGGCCAATTTGTTCTGCAAGAAACAAAGTTGTGATAAGTTTTTACAGTTGCCCTATAAAACTAATGCAAAAATGTAACATTTTTTTCAGTATTTATTGTATGCCAACACTTTGCCTGATTCTTCTCATTTAACTAAACCAATAATGTAGCAACTATGAATATCTCTACTTTCACAGACTTTATTTACCAAATGCTTATATGGCATTTAACTATTTTCTAATTGCTTCACAAATATTAATTCATTTTACTATTATTTTTAATCTCTATTTTATGATTCACTTAACATCCCCCCTATACCTCTAAAGCCACATAGACACCAGACTCTTTTACTTTTTCTAACTGGTTAGTATTTTTTTGTGGATACCATGATGACTTTGAGGTGAAAATAACTCTGTGATGTTCTTTGCAACCTAGGTTTACATACCGAGTTCTTCAGGGCTCCTTGTTTCCATCTCCAATTCTGAGAGCTAAGCACTTTGACAGACTAACTCCAGAGGAGAGGACAGAAGCTCTCAAGAAGTGGAGAAGGACCGGAAAGATGAAGGAAGTGACATCTAAGTATGCTGACCAATCAGCTGCCATATCAGGAAGAAGACCCACATCTGACCCTCCTGTTACCTTTTCAATGAAGTCAGCAACTTCTTGTGCTGTTGAGCAAGGAAACATATCTATATGTGAAACTGCTGTAGATAGAGGCTACACTGAAACTGAGGCCTCAGAGATGACTGGACTCTCAAAACATTAAGAATGCAGGGTACCCTCTTTGGAGCTACAAGTAGTTTTTCAGGTTTGGCAGAGAGATTTTAAAGAGGCACCTCTATGAAACAAGGAGTATTTGTGTTTTTATATAAGGGATATCAGCATTTTACTAGTCTTAGAATTCAATAATGACATGATGACCATTATTGTATGTATATACATTTGTAAAAGAGAGATAAGATTTGCCCTAGATGGAGTTTAGGAAAGTCAAATACATAATTCAGAATCAAATGCTTTTATGAAACTTTTTGGATTTTGTAAAAGTATTTTAATTGCCTTAGAAATGCAGACATTATCATGGGGTTCATTTGTGACTTATTTATTTCACTGGGAAATCTCATATTCTTGGGAAATGCTTCAAATAAGCAGATACCAATCTGGAAAATTTTTTAATTAAGCAAAAAATTTTAGATATATTAGTTAAGACAAGGAGGAGTTTTTCCATATTGAAAAAAAAACCTTTATTGTGATTTTTTTTATAATTAATATTAATTATAGATTAATTCCCACAAACCTTTTAAGCAACCATGTACATAAAATACAGTAATAATCATACTGTTTAAAATATAGTTAGTGAATATTAATAGCTTTTTATTTCCTATGGGAAGATGCCTTTGGTCTTCTGACTATAGATGTTAGGCATACCTCTCTGCTCATCTCAGCGTTTTCCTTTTGTGGAGCCTTTACAGGAGGTGGGTAGGAGAGATGCTAGCATTCCACTGGGTACCTGGGGTGTGTTCCTCTTAGCTTTCAGTCAAGAGAAGAGCTCTCATGAGGTCTCCCTCTGTGTAGATGTTGTCAGTTGGATACAGAAGCCATAGGTCAGGCAAACAGAATCAGCTGAGCCTATTTAGCAATTTCTAAATTCTAAAAATGACAATAGCCTCATCAAAATGAGACAATTTCAAAACAATGTTCCAGAGACCATTTAAGGGTTCCTACTTTTTTACAATTTCCAACAACTCTTGTGGTTTTGTAGACTGTAAAACATGAGCTATTGATTTAGACTCATCCAGATTATTCTCCAGGAGTTTCCCTGAAGTTCTTAGAAAAACTTCTTTTTCAACACACTTGAGGATAGGAATGTCTATAGAAAAGTTTACTGCTATGACAAATCATTTATGTTGACTTTAGTTGGGACCAAGAGACTAGTTTAAACCAAGTCAGGCCAGGTGATGTTATTGTAAGATCATATATTCTTGCTGAAGTTCTTTTAAAATTCTATCTCTATGCATCTGAACATCATCTGTTAACAATCATCTAGAATTTTCTTCATGAAACGCCATGCTCGTGTACAATGTCTACATCAAGTTCTTGTTAATGACTATAAAACTATTATTCTCAGGGCTTAATCTACCTACTGCCTACTATCCTGGTCCTATATTTTTTTGTAACCTTCTGTTATTATTGTTCGGTTGTTTTTTATATAGACTGATTTCTAAAACTTGTAAAATTTCATATAGCTAATGAAAGTCGCTTTCTGCTTTCTTAAGATTTTTTTAAATAAACTATTTATACAACATGTACTGAAAAACTGTTGTCTCTCTTGTAAGTATACAGTAAATCCAACTGTAACTGGTATCAGAACTTAGAAGGAAAATCCCAGAATACACCTTTTTACCAGAAAATTGTTTGGGCCTTTTCTTATATTAAAAAACAAAAAACATATGAATAGAGAAAAATATTGAATACTCATGTTATGGAGCTACGATATTATACCTGAAATTCCAAAATTCCAAAGACTGAAAACTGAAAAAATTTTCATAAATTAAACATAGACTCAATGCTCTGAACAAATGTGAGGCTATTTTGTATATTTAATATAATCATTCAAATATTTTATTTATAAAATTAGTGTATTTTATTACTGGGTGCTAAATTATATATATTTTTTCAATTTATAAAATTCTGAGTTTTGAAACACATCTGGCCCCTAAGATGAAAATATTTTGGGTCTACAGTAAGTTTTAAAGGGTTACATTTACAAGAAAATAACTCCTTTATATAGTTACCCACTGATGAGATCTTTGTGTTTTGGTATTTCACTATATTCTACCAAATTTGGAGGCAGGGGTGTCAAGCATTGTATCATTGTTCCTTGTAGCCCCCCCCCCAAAAAAAATTAATAATATTCATTTGGGGATTTAATTTTATTACAAAATATTTATAAAAAGAATTGGATCCGGTTCCTAAAATGTACTCTAGACATTAAAGATCTGTGTGCTATTCCCAGGTCTGATGTTCTCAGTGGACACTCCATGAGTGATTTGAGACTACTAGCAACCTTCAATTTTAGACTAATAGGAATCACTGGGGTTTTCTAACAGGGCAGGTAGCTGTGAGAATGAAATAAAGAACAGGTACATTTTGGTTGATGGAAAACTGGGCCAACAATGTGCTGTTAAAGAGCTAAAAACAATTTCCTCGGACTTGCTATTTATGTTTCATAATCATCCAAAATAAAAACAAAAAAAGATAATACCATTTTATTTGTATTTATAATTATTTAAAATAAGTACAATATGTACATGTCACTGAACATAAGTTGAGCAAAGCTAAAAGTTGTTACATTAAGTAGGTACCTACAACCATAATAAAACTGACACGTTCTTAAACTTTCATATAATTGTGACCGCAAATCAATTGCTGGATTTCACCCTCTCTCTAGATTTATGACAAACTACAAAGCAGGAGATAAATGACATGAAAAAATAAATGTCAAAAGAACTTCTTGAATTTCAAATGTGTTTACATGTAGAAAAGAGTACAAAAGTACACATATAAAATCGTAGGTAGTCTCTATTAGGAATGCTGCGGCAGTCCAGGTGCTAGTGGAGGTTAGTCGCAAATCCTACTTGTTTGAAAAGGCATTTGGATGTTGCAAAATGGATGGCTAACTAATTAAATTAGGTATATGTGAAGATTTCTGTTTTGAAGCTTTTTAGTGAAGAAAAATACTGTAAACCTCTAATGGCTTTGAAAATTCATTTGCGTAATGTGGCCTAGTGCTTAAAAGCGTCCTTCAACTTTTGTTTAATTATTAATGAGAAGAAATGGCAACACCAGATGTTAGACATCATTGGGGGAAATTACAAAATGTTTTATTGCATGCAACATTTTACTGTGCTTTGAAATATATTTCTTTGAATTTATTGGTATGGATGAATATAGGAAAACTAAATTTTCATATTTAATTTAGGGTGGGGTACAATTTAATTTTCTATTTAAAACATTGCATCTGTATAATGTACTGCAGGTTCTCCTTTCATAAAATTTAATCTCCACTTTATTTCACATCAGCAAAACAAATATTTCCCATGAATATTGACCTATTTGTTGAAATTTCAATTAGCCAACTGATGTGCACTGGGAAAGCCCTAGCAATGGGGAAAGTTTTATGAAGACTTTTCTATAAAATTATAAACTTGATTTAAATCCAGGATAGGCAAAACTATAATGTCAAGTGTTAATCTTGCTGTCTTGGGAACTTTGCATTCAGTGTCTTACAATGTCAGCTATTGGTCTTTTAACTCTATCTTTCATAAGCTCTAAGAATTAAGCAAACTTTGGAAGAGTAATAGTAAATAATTTAAACATGTAAATGATCTTGACTTTTAATAAATCAAAAGCCAGTCTCCAATGTTAATATTAAAATTTGCCTCTAAGCTACTGTGCTTGAGAAACAGAAACTGAAGGAGAATAGTTAGCCTGGATCTAAATGTCCATTTTGTAATAGACTAAAACAGAACTTTCTGTAACCTGTTACCCTAAGGCCTGCATTATTTTAAATCTGTACAGAGTTGTTAATTTCATCCTTCAGTCAAGACTAGGCCTGGTAAAAAAAAAACAAAACCTGTTCTGCTTTATTTGTTTTCTTAAAACGTGTCATGGAATTCAAAATTAGAGAATGATAAAATTGAAAAAAAAAAAAAAGGTGAACAAAATTGGTCTTAAAACAAACATGAAAATCTGCAGTGCATGGTGAGCATCCCTGTCCATGGAAAATATATCTGAACAGCTCTCTGAAAGAAGCTCTTCACAGTCAAGAAGGCCATTCTCTTTCAATGTTGCTGGCAAAAGTTTCTGATCATCCTTGGAATTACTTTAGGAGGAAGGTATGGATATATATTTGTTTTTCAATCCATTCAACAAAGTATGAAACATTGCTATACACACCAGGCCCCAGGACTTTGGAAAAGCAGACAGAGCCCCATGAAGTTAAACCAAATAAAGTCCACCGTCCTCCAGATTGCTCACAAACAAGAGGCCCACCACTGTCACCCTGTAATGAAAAGAAAAGGAATTTAGTTACTGGGATTCCAGAATCCCAATAGCATCTATGTCTTCATAAGGGTATAATAAAGCCAAATCTGCCCAGCTTAACCAACTCCTTGGAAATTTTTAACAAAGCTCTCATTGTCAGTCTGTGGAAGGAGCATAGTTTCCACTGTGTGAATGCAACTTTAAAATGATTAATTCTGATCTTTAAAAGAATGGGATTAGCTTGGGAAAAGAATGCATTTTTGCCCTGAACTCAGAAGACATTTTTTAGTCATTTACTGACTTACCAAAATATGTCATAAATTATACATAAAATATGTATAATTTTATGTATCAGAACTGATGATCTCTTAACTCATTTTGTAAGACTGATTTATCATCTAACTATAAAAAGTACCCCAAATGGAAAAGATTTATTTTCCTTTATACTATAGGTACTACAAAAACATTCTAAAATATTTGTATTTTCATAATTCTTGCTATGTGAAAGAACACATTAAAGCATTACACATTTGGGGGTCCCTTAATTGTACTTCCTAATAGTCCTTAAGACTTTAAGGATTATTTACAGTGACATACCTCATTTATTTATACCCTGTATTTTATTCCATATGCATAGAGGTTTCATCCTTTCTATTTAAATTTAGGTATACCAAATAAGTTTTATTCAGTTATTTTCCCCAAATATAGTTAGCCTCAAAACACCATAGCATTACAGATATTAATATTGCTGCGTCTGAAAAGATCATAGTTGGTAAGAGAGCGGTATCCTGCACTGCCTCAAAAGAGAGAAGTAGATGCCATTAAAAAAAAATAAAGAAGAAAGTAAATTTATTGTGGAATGTTTGAAATACTACTTTCCCTGTGAGATTTTCCAACTTCAAATGTGTCTGTGGTCTTCCTTCCTTGTAGAATCAGAGAATAATAGAGAAAAACATGTTTATCAATGCTCTTCTAAATACTTTTCATGTATTAACTCATTTTATCTTCACCAAATAACTAAGAATTGATACTTATTACTATGACGTCCATTTCAGAGATAATGCAACTAATGCACAGGTTAAACAACTTGTTCACTGACAGAGCCATGATTTGAACCCAGACAATCTGGCAACAGGGCCCCCTACCTCATGACTACCAGGTTATGCTGCTTCTTGAAAATACTACTGAATACTATTGCTATAAAATGGAAGTGAATTTTCTATTATGCTGTATGCTTTAGTGGAAGTGGTGACCTTTGCATTCATAACTTTTTGATGCCCTAAGTCTAAATAATAAGCATAGACCCTAAGAAGCTAAATAAAATTTTTTTTCTGCCTGAAACACTAATTGGAAAAATTTTTTAAAAAGGCAAAATTTCCTGGAAACATTTATTTTTCATCCCATCAATAAATGGGATGAATTCAAACTAAAAAGCTTCTTATCAGCAAAAGAAACAATCAGTGAGGTGAATAGAGAGCCTATAGAATAGAAGCAAATTTTTACCACACACACATCAGATAGAGCACTAATCTCTAGTGTACATAAAGAACTCAAAAACCTTAACACCAAAAACACAAATAACCCAATCAATAAATGGGCTGAGGAACTGAACAGACACTTCTCAGAAGATGATATGCAAATACATGAAAAAAATGTTCAACATCTCTAGCAATTAGAGAAATGCAAATAAAACTTCTCTAAGATTTCATCTCACTCCAGTCAGAGTGGGAGCTATTAAGAATACAAATAACAATAAGCGTTGGCAAGAATGTGAGGAAAAGGACACACTCTTACATTGCTGGTAGGACTGCAAATTGGTGCAATCAATATGGAGATTCCTTGGAAGACTAGGAATGGAACCACCATTTGACTCAGCTATCCCTCTCCTGGGTCTATACCCACAGGACTGAAAAACAACATACTACAGGGACACAGCTACATCTATGTTTATAGAAGCATAATTCACAATAGTTAAATTGTGGAACCAACCTAGATACCCTTCAGCAAATGAATGGATAAAGAAAATATGGTATATATACACAATGGAATATTACTCATCATTAAAAAAGAATAAAATCATGACATTTGCAGGTAAATGGATGGAGTTGGAGAATATTATGCTAAGTGAAGTAAACCAATCCAAAAAAAACCAAATGTTTTCTCTGATATGAGGATGCTGACCCATAATAGGGATGGGGAGGCGGGCATGAGAGGAACAGAGGAACCTTAGATAGGGTGAAGGGGACAGAGGGGAAGAGAGGGAGGAGGGGCATAGGAAAGATGGTGGAATGAGATGGACATCATTACCCCAATTACATGTATGAAGACATAAATGATGTGACTGTACTTTGTGTACAACCAGAGACATGAAAAATTGTGCTCTATATGTGCATGATGTAAAATGCATTCTGCTGTCATATATAACAAATAAGAATAAATAAATAAACTTTTTTTTAAAAAAAAAAAAGGGAAAATTTCCTAGGAACATTTAGTTTTCAGTGCTGGTAAAGGAACTCAGGGCCTCGTGTGTGTTCGGTGAGTGCTTTACCACTGAATTGCATATCTAGTGCTCCTGGATACATTTTTATTAGACATATTTTCCCCAATTTTTTTACCTTCCCTTATATAAAGCAAATGCTAAGATGCTCAATTATTTATATTGAGCTCTTATTGTGCCAGATAATAATTACAATGGGACACATTTTGACATTAGTACCTCTTCATTTCCAGATCAGAAAATCAGCCTAATAATTACTTAGCAGCTACTCTGCAAGATTGTGGGCTAGGCTCCACATAGATAAAGGCATGATTTTTGTTCTAAAGTAGTCAAACATTTGCATGCATAGCAAGAATAACTTTACAGGAAAGCAAAATCTAAGGGATGTGAAGAGGACTTCAGAGGAAGGTGTAATTAGTTTTCCAGGTGGAAATGAACAAAATTGCCTTCCTGAGATGGGGGTTTGAGTGAGGTTTAGTGAGTCAAGCAGGTGTTCCATTAGGTGGGAAACAGGGTGAAGAGCCATCGATTCAGACTGAAAGGGAGAAAACTGCTAAAGACAGCACTGGTCTAGTCTGCCTTCTGGATCCTCTGCTCTCATAAGATTGGGCTTTCGGCCAAAGTTGATGCTTGGCTTCAGTATTGATCAACATGATTAATAGACCTTCACAAAGGGGCCCATGCTGTTCAATGGGCCCTTGATGATGAGATTAAGGAAGATAATGTATGTCCTCTGATAGAGGGTTGGGTGAGCAAATTTGCTTCACTTCTGATAAAAAGTAATTCAGAACATACGGAATGCATTCAGGAGACTCATAGCCAAATTCCTACTACTAAAAAATTGGAAGACCTGGTTTGTATTAGTCGTCCTATCAATGTACCTGTGACTGGAAGTGTGTTTGGGCCTTTAATTCCCTTTCAAAGAATCACATCTCTTTACCAGGAAATGACCTTGAACATGTGCTAAGAAGTGCTACTTTGTGGTAATCCTCCAAACCACACTGGGGAAACGAGAAGTGTAGTCACGTTAATCATTGCTACTATGGTAGTACAGTGGCCGAGCACTTGTGTGCTGAAGCTAGACTGTCTGGGTTTCATAGCCTCACAGTATCATGCTGGGTGATCTGGGGCAAGTTACTTAATCTTTCTGCTCTCTTGTTTCCTTGATGTGTTTAGAAAAAATAATGATATGCCACATGGGATGATTATGGGAATTAAATGAGTTATTAGTATTTTGAAGAGATCCTAGAACACAGTAAGCACTAAAGTGATAGATGAACATAATTACTATTAATTGAAAGTCTTTCACTAACAACTCAATTTATCCTCAAAACACTTCACTTTATTCATGAGAAAACTATATACAGAGGTTAGATGTCCCCAGATTACATTGTTCTTAACTGACAGAGGTGGAATTCAACACAGATCTTTCAGGTGCAAAGCCTATGCCCCAAGACCCATATCATGCTACCTCTTAAAATACTTTTATTTTTTGCACTAGAAAAGCAGCTCAGTGGTAGAACATTTGCCTACCATGCATGAGGCCCATGGTTTGAGCCCAGCGTCATAAAAATAAAAAGTTTTTTAACGATTTTTATTTTTATTTTTTGTCTTAGGAAATTACACCTGGACCTCTTGTACAGAATAAAAGAATTTTTCTACTATGGCCCACCTCAATTGGATGGCTCATAGTCATGTGGCAGAAAAGAGGGTGGCCTCAGTGAAACTCCAAAGAGCACCATCTCTCCCTGTGTCCTATGACTATTATCTAAGGAAATCACCACTGGGCTATTTCCAATCATCTGATTTTTTCCATCCTAACTTGGACCCATTAAAAATGTCATTCAATTATATTGGGCTAGTGATAATAGTGTTGTTATATCTCTTCTTCCATATTAAAATGTGGGAGGTAATGTGATCTACCAAAAAGCAGAGAAATAACAAGCATTTTGTAGCAGTGTAGTAGACTATGTTCTCCACTCTGTTACAAGCTTCGAGCACTTGCAATTTTCCTCCTTCTCTTGGAGCAAGTCCAGTCAATGAATGTTTAAATAAAAAATGAAAATGATTCCCTGCACTGCTAGGCTGGTGTGCTCCACAACCTGCTGTGGCCAGGAATATGGGTGTCTAAAGATCACGTCAGTGTCATTTGAGAACAAGCTGGTAATCAAATGGGAGCCACTAGAACCCAGAAAATGCCACTGTCACTACTCCTAAGACAAAGGCAGTCCTGTTACACACTCTAGAAGGTAAGGTGTTGATGTTTACCCAAAGGCCATCATCCTAATGGCTGGCAATGTCCTCTGGTGCCCTCCTGGTCCCTGAGATAGTCAGGTTGAAGCTCTGGTTACTATTTGCCCCTCTTCTATTGTTTGACCACTAAACACATCTGATGAGATGGACTGAAATTATTGTTTCCCCCCTGCTGCTGACCAAAGGTGTTATTCCCTATTTAGTAGTTGACAGAATTGAAGGCAACCTGAACAAAGGGGCTAGAGGTGGTTAGGGGCATGACTTGGGTACTGGATGGAGGAGGAGACACACTACGAATAATTAACACCTGGCAAAAATTATTTTTAAAATGTTCCCAAAGGATCATAAATGAATAATAATGAGTTTATGCAGGTTCACTGAAGTTATTGTTGAACTGAATCTCCTGGGCAGCCAGAAAGCAATTTACCATGCATGAGTCCACCGTGCCAGACTCATAGCCAGCACATATCATCCGGTTGGTGATGGTCTTCATGTCAAAGTAGGACTGGCACTGTTCCAGAGAAATAATACGGACCTCTCCTTCTTGCAGCTTAAAAGGCACTGGATTTAAAAAAAAGAAGAAGAAGAAATAAAGATATTTAAGATTTGGTAAAATGACTCAAAAGTGAAGCTAGCTAAATATGAAATATCATATGAACAATGTCATATCAAAAGGACCATATTATTTACCTGAAATGTCATTTCAAAGACAAACCTTATTCAAAATCAGAATTTTCTAATTAGAATATCCATAGCAATCAAAGAGGGTTGGGGGTGTATCTCAGTGGTAGAGTGTCCCCAGGTTCAATCCCAAGTATAGCAAAAGCAAATATTCATGGCAGGCGTCTGATGAAATCTTTTCGTTTTGAAAATGAGGAAATTGAGGCACCGACTAGTTAAATAACTGGCTTGTACTTTTCCCTTCTTGTTCTATACTGTGACAAACAGCAGCTACTCCAATGAAAAGGGGCAAAAGCTGGCAAAGGTGGGAGGCTGCCAGCTCAGCTTCTGTGAAGCAATCAGCCCTGCTCTGCAGCAGTGGCAAAAGCCTGTTAAATCAAACAGAGGAAGGATTGCCCTATTCTTGGTGAAAAGAAAACATCTCACCATGTGCTTCACTGGCCATTATTTGGATGTGAGAACATTTAATCCCAGGGGATATGACAGAGAGATGTCCAAAGGACAAAGCATCCCTTGGTGTTAATAGAGAGAATATATGAATTTCATCATGCTTGGAAGTTCTCGCAGAATAATAGTGGATTCCTTGACGCAAAACAGCATGAATCTTTTGCCATTTGACCATTCTACAAAATCAGACACATTTGAGTTTAAACAGTGATGGGAAAGTAGCATGTATGTACAGGGTGCATTCTTGGAAGAAATAATCATTCTTGGAAAAAATATTATCAGGAAAATAGAGGATGTGTCCTGAGTTGTCAAAAGAACAATAAGAATAAGAACAATAGGTAACACTATTGGGTACTAATGGTAGTCCCAGAGCATACCCTCACTTCTGGACCTTATCCCTTTTTAATTTTTACAAATATCCTGTGCGTTAGATAGTGTTATTATTTTTTTTCATCTTGTAATAAACTAGAAAGCAGTGCAGTAAGAGTCAATAAGTACTATCTAAATGAGTTCACTCTTGCTCCTCATGCTATATTGCCTATTTGTGAGCAATGCTACACTATTGATATAAGTTTGATATGGATATTGTTGGAAGAATAAAACCAAAGGCAATATAAAGCACATTCTACCCTTGTACTATGTTTCAGGACTAATCAGAACTTTAAAAAACCAAGATGGGAAAGAATGATGATATTATATGTCTAACGTTGCCTTTAAAATTCTTATATGTGAGCTTTTTCTGAAAAAAAATCATTGACTTTTGTCTATTGCTTTTCCTTTCCCTCATTTGATATAGATTTCCATCACTTCATATAGAAATAAACTCAACTTAGCTCAAAATGAATTTGATTAAATTTCAAGAAAAAAAAAGTGTCTTTAAATTGACATTTCCTAAGGTTACTAACAAGATGCAAATATTCATTCATCCCCAAGAACCATGAAGTAGTTAGAACAGCCAGCACTTAAAGTCAAATAGAAAGTCTCATTGACTCAATTTGTATTCCAAACTTCAAACAGCTCAACCAGAATGAGTGATTTCTATAGGGGGTTGAGAATAAGTAGTACATTTTTAGTTTCTATTTGTTCTGTATATTTAAATTGTCTACAGAGACAAACTATTTCAATCAATTTAAATTTGTAAGTAGCAAATCAAGTTTCTTTCTAGAAGGACTTACAGGTTGTGCTACAGATGTAGATAAGACCAAATCATGACACCAAGTTGGAAATGTGACTGTACAGCTTGACTGAAGAAATGGAATTGCCTACCTGCTCCACAGAGCTTCAGAGGAGCTTTACCCACAGATGGACCAAATCATTATTAGAGTCAGTTCAAAGCAGGATGATTGATAGGTCCCATTTGGCATGGCAACTCCAAAACCCTGGTAGTGGCTTCTTAGAGAGAAAGTCTGCGGTTTGCAGGATTTTGAGGCTGCATCTGAACTAGGAGGTTTAAGTGCCATGGTTTATTATTCATGTCAACAACAGGCATGGAAGGGACCGTGTGACATGCCATTTGTGGCTGTATTTCCATAAACAAAGATAGGGAAATGTGTTGAAAGGCTAGGAAAAAACAGTGTGTTTGGTTACAAGTTGAAAGGCAAATGCTACTGATGAGCCTGGCTTACTTTTGTTGCCCATGTGGCCCCAGCCTGTGATATAGCAGTACGTATCTGGTTCCAGAGACTGCTCCGGGCTGGGTAAGCAGACAGGTCGGACATAGCTCGTCTCGTGGATGTCTTCACTCAGCTCCACAATGCTGATGTCATAGTCCACCACTGCTCGACTGTAGCGGGGATGCAGGACGATGGTCTTCACGAAGCGTGTCTGCGTGAACGCGGATGGGTGGTCCAGGTTGTTGATGCCAAACACCACCTTCCACACAGCAGCGCTCTCTCGCCTAGGATGGAAATTCAAGAGCAAGTGACATCTTCAACTCTAATTCACCATTCTAACACCATTCTAATTGCATAGCTGTTTTTTTTTTTTTTAAGTATTTATGTAAAAAATGGCTGTTTCCTTGCCTGTCTCTGAATGTATTCATAGAAGTATTCATTTAATGGTCTGAAAGCAAAGCCCAAGCTTTTTGATGGACCTTTATTTTTTTATTTATTTTTATGTGGTGCTGATGATTGAACCCAGGGCCTCACACGTGGTAGGCAAACGCTCTACCTCTGAGCTACAACTCTAGCCCAAAGGCCATTTTTGAATGCAGTTATTCTTGAAAATACAACTTGTTCAGGCTTAAAGGAAGGCAGAGTAGTTACTTTTCTTTTTTTAATTTATTTTTAATGAATGAGAAAGATCACTGAAATCCAAGAAAAGACAAGAGCAAGTGGAAAAGAAGGAGAGAAAAGCCAAGAGATCCCACCAAGAAACACCAAGTCCTGGGAGAAGTGCCAGGGTCTCAGGGCAGCCTTCTACTCATTTCAAGGCAGGGGTTTTAAAAGGTCCCTCACAACCTCCAGCGCTCAGTATCAGACTGTTGTTTTTTGATGTCATGTCAGCAATCTTTTATTCAATTCTCGCCTTTAAATGCTTTCTTCACTCAGCTCATAGGTCTTGCCATGCTCCAGAATCTCCTCCAATCTCATAGACTCCCACTGGCTCAATCTTCTCTTCTGAGTTCTCCCCAGCTCTCAGTGTCAGTGTTGAAGTGCTCTGACACTCCACCCTCAACCTTCTCTTCCTGCTCCATACTCCCTTGATGGTTTCATCTAATCCAGTGGTTTTAAATACTACCTCAAACCCTGGTGACTCCTAAATATATAGCACCAGTTCCATCCCCTATCCTGACCTGCAGCCTGGAAAGCCCAGTTTCCTATTTAACACACTCACGTGGAGTGTGGGAGGCTGCCCTGCCCATGGGCTGAGCATCCTCTCTCAGCCTTGAGTAAGGCAGGTGTTTGGTCTGGCATTGAATGCCATGCACTATGCAAAACAAGTAGCCTCCACCTTCACTCGGCAAAGAAGTTTGCTCTAGCCCTGGACTTGGGCGTTATCCAATGGGATTGGACAAATCTCCCTTTTGAAACCCTATCCCCTGCCTCATTTGGTGAAGAACATTCCATCGAAGCTCCTTTGTGTGTCCCCCCTATAATATAAAGAGATTCCAGGAGCACATTCTCTTTCCAGTGCTGTCCTGCGTGGAAGCTGACCCTTAAGGTCGCAGAGCTGTCCTCTTGACATGAAAACTACTTTTGTGTTATGTGATTTCTCACCATTTTCTTAGTTTAATGATGCAGCCAGGTCCTTTGAACCCTGTTCATCTCATCAGTGTGGGCATTTGGTGAGAATGGTGTTTGATAATAGCCACCATTTATTGAGGCTTACCACATATCTTAGAATGTTTAAGCATTCAGAATTAATTTTACAGCATTTTGATATTTACAATCTCTAGTGGCCCAGTTGAATCATCTCTTTCTCTTACACCCAACATTAAATGCATCAGCCAATCTTCTCCATTCCTATTTTCAAATATGTCCAGCATCTTGCTGTTTCTCCCTCTCCACTGTAAGATACTTCTCCACCTAAGGTACTCTCATCTCCTTGGACCACTGCAGTCAACTCCCAAATGAAGACTCTTCATCTAATCTTAGCTCCTATGACTCATTTTCCTCAGAGCAGTCAGAGTGACCTTTTAAAAATAAAATTAGATCAAGTTCATCTCCTGCTCATATTTCTCTAAGGACTTTATATCACACTTGAGCTAAATTCTAGACTTCCATCCCTGGCCTCTGAGACTCTACACAGTATGCTGCATTTCAACCCCAAGGACTTTCTATTTTGGGACATGCTAAGGACATGTGCCTATCAGAGGTCCCCTTGCTGTTCCGCCAGCTCTCAAATGACTTCCACCTATACTCTTTCTCTTCAACCTGCGTCACTTCCTCAACACTATTTTCCCTAGTCACCCTAACTCTTCCTCTATCCTCATCACTCTCTCTACACTTGACCCTGCTTCCAGTTTCTTCTCATAGTGTCCATTAATGTCAATGACACTGATACATTTGTTTTTCTATTTTATCTTGCCTCTCAGGTGTTATCTCTGTGACAGCAGGAACTTTGTTGGTCTTGTTCACTGCGATATTCACAGGGTCTAGTGCTAGTCATGCAGTGGGTTCTCAAAAAGTATCAAATGATGGTTCCATGTAAGTTGTTTTAAAACATGTGTTAATGGCAGACTCCAACTATGTGAGCAAGGTTTATTTTTCATCACTTCCTGTATGTCCTCCTCCCTTCACCATCTTCCCTCTTCAAAGTGAGCCAAGGTCAAAGGCACGGATGTTTGTTGGACCATAATGCTGTGAATGGGGTGAAGCTTTAATGTGGACACTCCCTTACACTATGGTACTGTGAGTCAGCATGAGAACACTGACCCAATTTGGGAGCTTGTGACCAAATCAACCAAAGTAGGTTAACTCTTCAATCCACATTTAACATGGAATCAGCTGGAAAGATTTTGAAATAGTAATACTTTGGGCATCAGCCTATAGCAACTGAAACAGAAGCCCTTGGGCTGGGATCCTGGAATCTGTGTTTTTTAAGGGCTATCCTTTCTATGGTATCTATTTAGTCACCTTCAGCATGACAGCTACCCAAAAGCTGAGACTTCAAGAGGCCCAGAAAATAGGAGCCAACACTTAAGACTCAAACTGAACTTAGTATTGTTAGATATTTAAACCATACTCTACTAAAGAGCTCCTCCACAAAGTGATGCATTCTGGACTTTTTCCATTTTAGAGAAAAATACTTCAGAGCTATCAAAAGAAAAGTTGATGCCTTTAATTGAAAAAATACAGATCTGTAACTATTCCTCTGTAGAAATATAAAAATAACAGAACTGAGTGCAAATGGATGATTAAATAAGCAATTACAATAAATTGCAGGAACTGCTATCTTGTGGGCATTACAAAACAATGTTACCGAATTAATTTTTACCACCTAGCTCCATCGCTCAACGTGTTTTTTCTCCTTCCTTCCTTTCTTCCATTTTCTTTCTTTTCTTTCCTTCTTCCTTCCTTCTTCCCTTGTTCCTTTAATTTTTTTAGTCTAAAGGAGTAAGTTCATGGCCATTCAAGAAATTTAATATTCACTTGAAACTCTATTACTTAAGATATTTAAAATTAAGCAATAAATCATTTCAAACTTCTGCCTATTTACTAATTTCTTGCTCTTGAACCAGAGCTGTTAAGTTTTGGTTGTGACAAAAACTCATTCATCTGCTTAATCATAAGCAACATTTCCAACAGTCACACATTTTATTTGCAACAAAATAAAATAACAACAAAATTCCAGACTTAATTACCGGATTCGGGGTTAATTTCTACTAATAAATAATGAGTGTCAACAAAGCAGCTAAATGTTATTCATTTGTATCCAATAATCTCTTGCTACATAAGCTACTGTCCTGATGGCATTAATATACACCAAAAGCAAAAAAAGAGAAAAGTGCACAGGAAATTAGACATTTTTTAAAATTCAGTGATATTGTTCTTTTTTTTTCTTTTTGTTATGAGTATGAAGTGAAAAATAAGCTTCTTTAACATTTTTTTTTCACAAGTCTGGGAAAAAAACGTGGAAACCAGCCTGTTGTTTGAAAGGGTTGTCTGAAGTAAAGGAGATGTGCATAAATGATACACTGTTATGTGAAGTATGTGCTAGGGAGAGTGAGTCAGAAGTAAAGGCAGAGACAGCTCTGTCTGTAGTTAGAAGCAAAAAAAAAAAAAAGGAAGACAATTTGAGACATCAATTTCCTATCTGGTCAGGAGAACCCAGGGGAGAAACACAGAGAAACAAGAGATGAATGAATGAATGGCCATTTTGGTAAGAAGAGTCTAATTTACATTCGACTACAAAGAAAAAAGTCAGGTACATTAGCTAAAAAGCCTCAGCATAGGAATACTTCCCACTTGGCTGTCAAGCCTCAAAGCAGGAACAAGGAGAATTGGAATATTCTTAAAGGAGTTTGTGCAAAGATCTTAATGCTTTTAAGAGTGATCAAGCAAGCACAGGTACAGCCAGGCAACTCTATCCACAACCACATGAAAGTGGCTAAGAAAGATGTTTAGAGGAATCTTTTTCCTTTCACTCTCGCTCTAGATATAGTTCATTCCCTAAAATTCACATTTAAGATCTCATTTGCTTAATGTTTATGCTATTGTTTTATATGCATATATGTCATAGAGAATTATCAATTCCAAAAATAAAACCTAGCTATTTACACATCTCAGATGCACTATTGCATTCCAAGAAATTATACAACACATTGTAGGTAGAATGTCTGGATGCAATAACCTGTCACTTTGGTTTGCAATTTGCCACATAAAACTCTAGTTGAGACATGAAATGTTGTATTTTCACTTAATTCAGCTAGCCAAATTTCCTTTTTAAGTCTATTCTTTTTGTTTATATGTGTAATACAGGGGATCAAACCTCAGGCCTTATGAATACTAGGCAAATGCTCTACCAAGTGGTAGAGATTACATCCTTAGTTCCAGAGAGCCAAATTTAGAGATTTTCTATCTTTATTTCAGGAGCACAATATTTTCCTTCCTTGACCCTTTCCAGTTTAGCTTGTTTGTATATTTAACATTTTTCCTTTTTAATGAGGGAAAATTAATATTCATAATTAACACATGATAGAAATCACCCTATTTCACAAGACCTACTTCAGAAGAAGCATAACTGAATGGTGATTTGGAGAGTCTGAAGAAAGAATGGTTATTTGAGAGAGTCTGCACTAAGAAAAGAAATATATTATAACATCACTGCTGTTCTACAAATCAGTGATCTCTTACTTTTAATATTGTGCTCTGCCCTTAGAATTTTTAAAAAGAATTATCTGTAACAGACAAGATGAATAGACTTTAGAATAAGGTGGCTGCAAAATAAATTCAT